TGGTATTGAACATCAAAACATTACTTTTGTTAAACAGCAGCCTGTTTAGATCCTTGTTGAAAGCTCATCTGAACTACTGGAAGCTCCTTGAGTTTGCAGAAGCATTTTTAAGCAGGTAAAATATTAGGCACTTAAGCTGCCAGGAATTTCCCATGAGCAAAATAGAATGGGAAGGAAAGAAGTTTCTTCTGAACCCAGGACAGGCCAACTTGAAATTTCACACTACAGACAGGCAAAAATTACATGTTTTTTCCCTACATTCTTCATCTATCAACTCTAAATAATAATACTTTTGATTATAAATATATTTTGTTCTGTTTTTCTTTCAAAACATAATTTGTAGTTTTGTTTACATATAATCCTAGAAGTACTTTAGAAGTGCAATTTTAAGCACGCAGATGTCCCTTCTAAAAAGTCATTTAATTGCATGTGTGTACACCGATAATTTTCACCGTTCGGATGTATACCATCCCTAAGTACAAAAACAATCATAGTATTTAGGCCTAATTTATTAGTTGAACAGTTGCACAAATTATCTATTTGTATTTTAAATTAGTCTTTTTTTTTTTCCTAGATCATGGGTAATATTTCATCAGTTGATTAGGATAGATGAACATTAAAATTCAGGAATTTCTGGATGCATGCCTGTTACCTTTAACTAGTTACTGCTGACAAAAATCTGAGCAGCATTGAAAAACCGCAAAGACCTACACAGCAATAAAAATATTCTGCACTGTGTTTTAATTCAACTCACTGTCTTGGTAAATGCAAACAGGAAAAGTGAAATACAGCATTATCCATTTTATCAGGGTTAATTTTAGAGTTTTATCTACAAAGGTTACAAGTCATTTAAGGAAAAGAAGTGTCATGGTATGAGGGTACAGCATTATGGCTTTCCTCAGCTATGCCGTACTGGCTTCAGTACCTATTAAATATTTAAACTTGTATACATATATTAAAAGATTGACAGAGCAGCAGAGCACAGAAATGCAGCACTTTTGGTGTAAGGATTTCAGATCCAATACAGGACATGAATGCAAGGTAACTGAGTATGTATGAATCATCCTGCTAAGATGCTGCAAATGTTCAAAGGGTTAAGGATGGCAATTCACAATTTGTTGCTATGTGCAGCAAGGATAAAAATCTCCTGAACCTCCCCCCCTTAAGAGGTGAAAGGTGGTCTGAGCCAAAACGCACATACTGACGTCCAACCTTTCCCCAGAGAATCAATGATGTTTTTTTGTGTGTGATCAATGTAATATTCCACAGCTAAATTTAGGGACTCTGCATCCTATGAAAATGGCACCTCACTATGACTAATTAGCAATAAAGAACTGTGGTTATCTACAGGTTTAATTATTTAATCTCCAAGGTTTTGATTAACTTTAATCTTTTTAGTAAAGACAAAAAAAGTATATAAAACGCATTTCTAGGGTTGTTTATTCAGAAGGGATTCTGTAATTTTCCCTAGTCAGCTTGTAAGATTACACCATCTTTGCTGTTAGCTCCCCTCACCCAAGCAACATGCAGTGTGAGACAGACTGCTAATAAACCTGCTTTTCTGTGACTGTGTGCTTTTTGGCTACATCAGAAACTATGCCTACATAACTTCTCCGTTTTTCACTTTGGAATATTACAGACATTTCAGTAACATGTAGCGAGCTTAAGATTCCATATTTCATTATGAAGTGGTACAAGCAAGCTGGAAAGTTAAAGGCAGCTCTCTTTAGCCACAGTGAGAAAACCTATTTCAGGCATATTTTATAAACCAAACAAATCTTTACCCCACAGGTGCGCTCCCTCTTACCTACCGGCACTCTATCTGCATGGTTACCAGTCCCAGGGTGATACTCCCTGGTTCCACCGAAGTTCGAGGGATTTTTGCCTGATATTAGCGTGGCCAGATTTTGCTTTTAATAATTCATTCAGCACACAGGCTGCAGTATTTGCAAGGACACGATGGTTGGGTACAAAGCAAAGGATGCAATGGGAAACAGACACTTTCCACAAGAACTTTCCCCAGGAGCTGAACATCACTGTAAGCCCCAGTTTCTCCAAGCATTCTTTCTAGATTCATACACATATGTCATTACTCTGCCTAAATGAGCAATATAGAAATAAGTGAAGATTTAAAGGAAAAAAATAGACCTGGAACAAGGAGTTCCCAGTTCTGACATCAGGTTGCTCCAAAACCACCAGAAACAAACCCCTTATGGCTCAATTTAAAAACATTACTAAGAAAAATAAGCACATAAAGAGATTTTTGAGAGTCTTGCACTTTGTTACATGGCAGAAACAACCCTGGGAAGTGATGCTTTTTAAAATATAGTTTGCTATTTTTTTTTCCCTTTCGCCTCATTCCCCCATCTGTCAAAAGGAAAATGGTGCACTATGAAACAAATTCTTCAATATTTGTCCTGTTCAACTTATTCATTAACGACCTGGATGAAGGGCTGGAGTGCTCCCTCAGCAAGTCTGCCAATGATAGCAAACTGGGAGGAGTAGCTGATAGCCCTGAGGGCTGTGCTGCCATCCAGAGGGACCTGGACAGACTGGACGACTGGGCGGTAAGAAACCTCATGAAGTTCAACAGGGGCAAGTGCAGGGTCCTGCACTTGTGCAGGAATAAACCCAGGCACCAGGACAGGCTGGGGACTGACATTGTGGAGAGCAGCTCTGTAGAGATGGACCTGGGTGTCATGGGGGACGATAAGTTGACCATGAGGCAGCAGTGTGCCCTGGTGGCCAAGAAGGCCAACGGGATCCTGGGGTGCATTAAGAAGAGCGTCTCCAGCAGGTCGAGGGAAGTGATCATCCCCCTCTACTCAGCCCTGGTGAGGCCACATCTGGAGACTGTGTCCAGTTCTGGGCTCTCCAGTACCAGAGGGATGTGGAGCTGCTGGAGAGAGTCCAGCGCAGGGCTACCAGGATGATCAGGGGCCTGGAACATCTGCCCTATGAGCAAAGGCTGAGGGAGCTGGGCCTGTTCAGCCTGGGGAAGAGGAGGCTGAGGGGGGACCTGATCAGCGTGTATAAATACCTCAAGGGAGGCAGTGAGGAGGAGGGGGTGGCCTCTTTTCAGTGGTGGCCAGCGACAGGACTAGAGGAAACGGCCACAAGCTAAGGCACCAAAAGTTCCACAGGAACTTAAGGAAACATTTCTTGACAGTGAGGGTGACAGAGCCCTGGAACAGGCTGCCCAGAGAGGTTGTGGAGTCTCCTTCTTTGGAGATCTTTAAAACCCGCTTGGACGCAGCCCTGTGCCACGTGCTCTAGGTGATCCTGTGTGAGCAGGGGGGTTGGACTCGATGACCTCTGAGGTCCCTTCCAACCTTAATCATTCTATGATTCTATGATTGTGTATGGTTCCCAGCAGTATGACTATTTAATCTATTTATCTAGAATTTACATTATCAAGCTGAAGTTCATAGCACGCAAGCTTTAGATGATGTAGGCACTTACTTTGAAATAAGATTAAACTTATATTCAAGTGCGCTCAAGTGCGCTTCCCTATTTAGGTAGGGAGAAGCCTACATAAGAAGATAAAACACATTCTTGAAAAACAATGAACTTGTACATAGGAAAAATGACACTTGTCTAAACAACCCTTTCACAGAAGTTCCACCTGGATGGTGTCAGGACACCCTTGTCAGTCAGGCAGCTGTTACCTCCCAAGACTGAGAAGTCACCCAGCATAATCATTAAACCAAGTGGCAAAGTAGATTGGTCAGCAGAAACATTCACAAGTTAGCACCATGTGGAGAACTCAGCTATAAGTCAGACCATAAACCAGTTGTTCTAAATAAAGGTAAGATATTGAGCAGTCAGTACAGCAGCCTGTACTCCATGTAATGGCATACACCCAGTAATTTACCATGCCTGGTCCACTGTTATGGACCAGGGCCTGATACCATCATCCTGCATCATAAGAGATGCACACACCTCCAGCTATAATATATACTCCTTTACTGTATTTCATATTAGATATGCAGAGTCTTAGTAAATATTTATACTGGCACAAAAATATAGATCTCAATCTCATCAAGTAAGCATAAAGCAGAAAAGCGCCGAAAAAGAATAATGGCATCATTTTTTCCCTTTGAGACAGGCAAATAAACAAAGAAATCAAATCTCTTTATAGACCGTTAACCTCAGCCTTGCCCAAAGAAGGCAAAAGACAAAGCTGTCACAATGAACAATCCTGTCTAATCTCTGCTGAAAAGCGAGGACTCAGTTTTCACTAACTTCTCCATGGGCTGCTTTCACAGAAAGACAGACTCCAGATGCCATCATTTTTCTAGAAACAAAGGTTTTGGGGCCATTGTATAACCATATGGTCTTCTAGTGGAAAAATAGAGCAATTCACCATTTTTCCCCTCATACAAACAGATAAAAAGAGTTCTGACTTATTGCATGGAGCAAGAATATGTGCAGTCATCTCTTCTACAGTATTTTTTTTTTCCTTCCATTAAATATTAAAACAAACTCTAGTGACTGGAAGGCAGGAAAACCTCTATTCCTAGGGGAGGGTAAATAATACCTGTGAATGACACTACCTCCAAGGAGTTATAGATTACTGTAAACTGTTGATTATCATGTAGTAAAGGGATCTTTTATTTTGCTTGGGTATGTATAGTGGTTTCATGTGTTAAAATCCTATAAATCACCTATACATAGAATGGGATATGGTTGAATTTTAAGTCATGCCCAGACATTTCTAATTGAGACTGTCAGTCACTGCAAAATTATCTGCTGAACAGATGCATCCCAGCAATGTTCTATTCAAAAGCAACTCCCTCACTCCCTTTAAAAATATACTTAAGACCCTTACGTGGCCCTTTACAGTTGTTCCCAAAACAGGAAAGTTGGAGACTAAGAGTTAGCATGACAGAGGAAAGGGATGGAACTTTAGTTTGGGAGATCCTCAACTGCTCAAGAAATGAACTAACAGATTCAGCTGTATTCAAACAAAACAAGACAAAGGCCTGTAGCAGACCTACCAGGACCTGTACAGTTGAAAGACTGCAAGCAGCACGTTCATTCAGATAATTGGCTGAAGAATTTGTAGCTGTAGTTGGTCTCTTCTCATCTATGGTTCTTGCCTTAGGCAATGATAACAACTGAAATAAAGAAAGCAAAATTAAGTAAACTATAAATCTTGCGTGCAATTTTTTTTTCAGGTGTTTACTCATTTACTGGCCTTGAAACCCCCAAAGGCTAGCTGATTATTTCCAGTAACACTCCACTCCAAATCAGTGATGCAGAGAAACTCCAACTATACAGCGTTTGAATTTGGAATAAATTATTCCACATTTTCAATGTTTTATGAATAAAATAGTCCAAGCATTATCCATTTATGCTCAGTATTTTTTAAGCAGTTTGAGTCTATTTCAAGTAACAGGTGATATGCTAAGGGGAAAAAAACATGTTAAGTGTGAGCATACTCTGTTTTTTCAGATGACTTTTATATTCCTGACAAAGAATAGGCAGCTTTCAAAGTATGTGTTGTATCTGTACAGTTAAAGATCCTGTTGCCCTTTGGAAACTTGATATATTTGAAGCAAAACTGAAATATGCAGGCTGAAAACAGAAGAAACTGCTAAGGAGTGGAAAACTGAAGCACAGCAGGATCAGGTAACTTCCCAGGTCTCGTATGAGAAGTTTACAAAACAAGTGGAGCACATATACTCTCCTCCTTTTTGGTCTTCTCTTTCAGTCAACAGACAGTATGTCAGGATCTATTCATGCAATGGGAGGATGTATTTTTTTGGTCCTTGCAGGTCAGCTTTTTTTTTTTTTTTTTTTTTTTTTTTTTTCGGTCTATGTAGTCTTGAGCACTCACTCTTTGACCCGTGCTTCCATACACTGCTAATGAGGAAAATCAGTCATGAAAATAGATGAGATGTTGGAACAAAACCAATTGCACTTTCACCCCTGGGTGATACAATCCACTCTTCCTTTATTCGGATTAGTTCCTCTAAATGCATTCCAATTCCATTTAACAGATTCAATGGAAAACTTCCTCACTCTTGCATAAACAATACTTTTAAACAAAGACAATCGCATTTATTTTTCCTTTAAGACAAATTTTTTCCCTATTGTGCATAATGTTTCTAGAAGATGGACTTCAGACTTGCTTTTAAAAACTTTGAAGAGAAAAATAAAATGACAGTCTTAAACATCAGGGATGTAGCCACATGAAGGAGTAGTAGCCAGGAAAGTTTCATGGAATCATCTGTTTCCTGACTCGGAGCTCAAATTTATGTTTCCATGGAAGGTAAGAGTCTAAAAACACAGAGAATTGAATTTTTCCTCTGTTATTCTCAGGAATATCCTTTCCCAGTATGCTTTAGAGCAGGCACATAAAGTTCTGGGGCACCCTGAAGTATCAATACAGCACTCGCATGCGTGCAAAACCGAAGCATCTTTGCTGTGACAACCCACTTGCCCCCTACTTCAGCATCTCCATTCCTGTCACAGACCCCACGGGCGCTACCCTGACACCATCCACTCGCCTGACACACAGAAGACTTTGCTGAACATTCTTTGCCTGAAGGCACAAACAGGGCTGAACGCAGGGAATGTGGCCTGTACCTGTGCCATTCTGTTCACATAAGGAAACTGGTTACTGACCAAAAGTTATTTGTGGCTTCCAGTAGGGAACTGCAGTTCCATGTTAACACCACATGATTACTTGCTCCTTGCTTTATTAGCTGTTGATACTAACAATATATGTATTGACTGGCATATCACAGTTCTGCCCTCTGAGAGCATCCGTAACTGTGCTGTAAATAAATTAAATGAAATGCAAATACAAAAAAAAAAAATTGTTTGTCAAAGACTGCTAACAAATGCTCTGTTATTACTTCTGACACTCCAGGCAACCAGAGTGTGAAGCTGGTAAGAAGTCAAGCAAGCTCTTGACGTCAGTTATTCCTCATTTGGAGCAATTTTAGACAATTTTTGACTTATGTTCATGTGCTGATCATTGATTAAGCCACAGGAGTGTTTCCTCTGGCACTTCCTTGCCCTTATTACTATAAACAGTATGGTACTTTTCCAAACCAGTTAGTTTCAGACTCTGTGTATGGCTTACTAACAAATGCACCATTATATTCTTTGTTTTCATTAATACCTGGAAGACAGCTATTTTCTGACAAGCTCTAGATCTCCAAAACACTCACAATTATTGTCAATAAATTATATATTTCTTAGTCTTATTTGAACATTAGAATCTGTGCACAGATCATAAATCAGAATATAACATATAACAGAATGATCAAGTTGTGTATTCTCCATGTAGGTATACATTACTCACTTGGCATTTCCAATTAAATGAATATGTTCACTTAAAATAAATATTAAGGAAAAAATAGCAGACATACAGACCTATCAGGCAAGCAGCATATTTACTGCTGTAACTAAGGGTCTTCTGTTATAGAAGATGTTATAAGAAACCACTGATGTCTGCTTTCATTCTCATAACATGCATGGTGATTTTAGATTGAATTAATTTCTTTCAGTGTCTTTCATTAAAAGCAAAGGGAGGCTCCATTTCACAGATTAATAACTTGCAGGTTATTATTACAGCCTTGTTCAGTGAATACTGCATGCATGTACCTGGATTTTACGTTTGTTCATAATATAAAACCCAGTAATATGGATTCATATTTTCTTATCAGTCTTTCTGCACCGTTCTGAAAAGCCATTGGTGTTTCTCACTACCAACTACTAACATCCCTAAGCTGGCCAAGGCTCAGAATTTTCCAGGATAGGGCCATGGAAATCCATGATGCAGCTCATTGAAAGCATTGTGAAAAGTTTTTTGCAAACATCTGAGGAGACTGCAACTACTGAACATGCACTGTACTCAAGATGCCTTATACTCCATTGAAGCTAACTTGGCAAGTGAGAAGATAGTAAAATGATGCACCATATGATGTGAAGGAAAAACATACCAAGAGACACAGCTAGGAGGAATGTTGATCCTTTCCCTAAGTACAGTCAGAAACAGTTCATCTTGCAGGTTAGGACTGCTTTGCATGGCTGGGAGCAGACGCTCGGCCTCTGAGGAAGGACAGGCCTTGGGGAAGTCTCCAAGTGTGAGGTGGAAGGAGGCAGAAGACAGACAGCTCATTCCCAGGTCTATTTCCTCCGTCCTCAGGAAAAAACACTTGAAACTGTCCGCTCTCTTTATTGAGCATGTGAAATAATTCACCTTTTTTAATCCGACCACCTCAGGAACTATTCGAAGCAGAAGTTGAGGGCAGTACAGTGCAGCAGCCCACACTACTCCGTGATAGCACAGCAGCAGTTACATCTTTCAATAGCCAGGTCACACAACACAACAGTCAGACTGCTACCAGCTGGACTGAGCCTTTCAGCAGGAGGACCAGTCCTGAGCACAGCAGTGGTTACATTCACTCATTTTCATTTTTCGCTAGTGTTTCCTGCTTCTCTCAGCTTTGTTTTAAGTTGGAATAAGAAGCAGCTACCTTTAAGCTTCTTCATACATCTTTTCTAGCACTAGTAGAAGCATTATGTAGTAGTTAAAAGACTGGTCAGGGTGTGCATCGTGAGAGCAATTATTACTGGTTCTGAATCTTGGATTCACAATATTACAGCCTATTATTTTTCCCCTTTCTCTCAGATATCTGGGGCAATTTGGGTAATAAGAACTATCATTTACCCATTTGGGCAGCACCAGTTCCCCTCAATCCCAATAACAGTTTTGCTGTTTCTTCCTAAGAGGCAAAGTGCATACTAGCCAGCTGCTGTAGAGATGAACAAACTGAAGAGATCAACATATTCAGAGTGCTGTTTAATGACCCTATAAGAGCTGACATTCTCTTTTGCAAATACTGGTATGCCATCTCCCTTCCAGCCCCCTGTAAGTGTCAAATGAACTTCATAGAAAACCAAACCAAAAAGCTCTGGGAGAACTCAAAGAATTGGAACACAATTACAAAGACATTAGAGCATTTCCAGCAGAAGAGCTAGCAGTTTGAAATTCTCCTTTAAGAAAGCCAGCTTTTCCCTACTCTTATTCTACTACTCCTAAATAAGGTCCTTATGGTTCTTCTGCTCTGCCTATTTAAATCACCATTCCTGCTTCAGGAAGAAAAGCAAAATTATAAGATAAAAGATCAAGGTGTGCAACTGGATAGTCTTTGAAATGGCTGGGAGTCCCAGCAGCACAGCAGGAGGTTTCTCTGCACGGAGCACCTCCCTCTTCCATGCTCCTCACCTCCTTCGGCTGCTCCAAGACACTTTTCTCTCAAAGTGCTGAGCTCTGCCCATTGATAAGCAGGGCGCTAATTCCAGCCTACCAAATAAAAACAGGATCAAATTACTTATTAAACCAACACATGTGGAGAGGTCTTTTGACCTCTGTCTCCCTCCCCAGTTTTTTTTTTTTTTTTTTTTTTTTTTTAATAAATGCAGGTGAACTACAAAACGGGGTGGGCTAGCAACTCCTATTTTAACACACAGAGTAAAGAGAGTACCCAGACAAGCAGCTTGTGGTAGGACTAGAGTCTCCTTCAATGCCATAATTCATAGTAATTAGGGTTTAGTGGTGGGTTTACAGAAAATTGAAGGCTTCTCTTCCACCCTCACCCCAAACTCACTCTAATACCCCAAATAATACTTTATGTACAGCTAAGCAAACGATCATATAAAACTCACTGAAGGCAATATCACAGTTTAAGAGAATTACTATTAGCATGCAGTGCTACTCCCACACCAGCAGCTGGTAAGGCCTGAGAAAAGCATAAACAAACTAATTAGACACAGAAAAATCTTCAGTTTAATGATGCTCATCCATGCATTGCACCATCCTCTTTGATGAGCAAGGCAAATGGGAATCCACATAATTTCTCTAACATGCATACAACCTCTGCACCCATGACCTTCACCTATGTAGCAGGCTACTTGTACGTCTACCTAGGCCTGGTTAACACAAGCATATCCTGGCTACCCCATTAACTGGGCAGCCTTCCAAAGCAAGTCTTCCCCTCCCGCCCCACAACCATTTGTAAGAGCTGCAGCAGACTAAAAATTCTCCAAGGAGTGTGTAGGAGCTTGTGTTACCTCTATAATAATACTCTGATTGTGAAGT